CATTTCTACTGCTGATCAGCACTGGCTCGGAAGATGAATTCTGATTGGCTAAAAAAACAAAAGACTTGTAGCCCCATTTCTATGGGCTCTGTGCGCGCTGCTGTGGAACGCCGATCGAGCCGGTGAAAATTCGAGAAAACAACACAAACTCAACTTTGAAGTAATCCCGAACAACCAAATTTATATATGTTACACACGTAGGGCTAATCTTGTTACACTGTTCAGAGGAGTCTCAACAATCATCCCAAAGTACCGTTTTCTGCGAGTTTTGGGCCTTTGTTTTCACCGCCACTGGTTGCCGGGCGGTGAAAATACCCGGATGTCCGCCCCCCCCGAGGATAGAGATGAACAGTATAGCGCCCGCTGCTCCAAACAGCTGACAAGTCCAATGAAAAGGGTGAGTGGCGATTGTAAAGAAGAAAGTTAATTTCATCTCTACCGTAAGCGACCGCATGCGGTTGGGCCACTGCACTTCCAGTTTATCGGAACAGAGAACGAGTTATGGTAAAAACGACCCGAAAAAAAGTTTGACGGACATGTGTCATCCCATGCCGAATGTTCACACAAAAGTACTTTGTCGAGATGTTTTTCACAATAAATTACATTTTCATTTTCAAATTTATTCGTTTATTTTGTATATTGTATTAATCTGTCAAATCAGTTTGAGACTATTTTCTTCAGCTTGCAAACAGCTAAATTATACCGATGCCACAAACACATTCTATAGATGCCGCTAAATCATATTCTATGATCGAAACACATTCTTTCGATGCCAATTACGCCAAATATTCCAATTACGCCGATCTGAAACGGAAATAAAATCGAGGGCGTTAAATGAGATTTAATACGGATAAATATCTTGCATATAGTTTAGTTAAAAGGTCGTCAATGTGTCCTAAAAACGTGATAGTACGTGGTCAGAGTGGAGTAGATGCCAGTTTGACTAGACTGTGACGTCTGCATCACAGGCTCGGGGGGGGGGGGCAGTTGATACATAGCTGGGTGGGGAGGTGCTCTTGAGTGCTCAAAAGTGTGACCATTTTTATACCTGGATAGTTGCAAAATCTATAC